GGCTCCCCCCGGGTCCTCCACTCCATCCTCCGTGCCGTTCGTCGCCTGTCCCTTCCTCCCCGGCCTCGCCTGCTGCCGCCGCCGGGCCTCACCGGTCCCCGGCCGCCCGCCAGCCAGCCAAGCCTTCTGCACCCTCCCGGCTCCCCCCGGGTCCTCCACTCCATCCTCCGTGCCGTTCGTCGCCTGTCCCTTCCTCCCCGGCCTCGCCTGCTGCCGCCGCCGGGCCTCACCGGTCCCCGGCCGCCCGCCAGCCAGCCAAGCCTTCTGCTGCCCTCCCATCCCCCTGTGGCGGCGGCGAGGCAGTTCGCAGAGCGTTCCCTGCACATGCGCAGGGGATGCTCTGTTACTTTTGGGGGGATTTAAATATCCCCCATATTTTTTTTACACTTTTCAGATTTTTGTGCACACCTGGGGATCTCCCCAAATGTGCACGAAAATCTCCCCGCCCCCCAGGTGCCCCCGATGTGCGGATTTAGATATCCGCACGCAGGGGGCGCCTTTCGCTATTAGTATAAGGATATTTCCCTTCAGAAATTACTGCTGATAAATAGCACAACATATTAATATTTCCCCCTAAATAAAGCTTTATCTTGAGAAACTGTATGAAGGGTGTTGCCATTCTCTAAAGAACTTCCCTTTAGGTAAAAGAGAAATGAATTATATGCAAATGAACACCAAAAAAACCCTCATGGAAAATGGCACCTGAAAATCATTCAAACACAGCCTGTTTCTTTGATGTTTAAAAGTGCAAGGTCACCTGAGGAACAAAGGGTTTACAAGAAGCTTCCTCATTCATTTTAGCTCTAACTAAAAAGACATCCATAGGGAGGGAAGGCATCATGGTATAGCCAGATCTTGTCAGATTTCGGACACTAAGCAGGGTCAGTACTTGGAAGGGAGACCACCAAAGAAGACTGGAGAGGAAGGCAATGGCAGACCACCTCAGCTTCTCCCTTTCCTTCAAAGCTCCTTGCTGGGGTTGCCCATAAGTAATCGGATGGCATTTTACACACACTCAAAAAACCCTGACATCCATAATTTTTCAGACAGACTAAGGTAGTTTCCACACACAAAAGGGCTTGTATGGTTTCCCCACTGCTGGTAAGACTGCAGATAAAGCACTTTGGCCACACAGCAGGTCTCCCTGCAGTTTCACAGCTCCACCCACCCATAATGGATACCCCCCCCCCATGGCTACTGGAGCTTCTGAAACTAAAAAAAACTTGGAACTAGAATATTGTTATATTGATATTGTTATATTGATATACTGTTGTAACAACAGAAGTAACAGGCTCCCTTAATTCTCAGTTGTTGTTGTTTTTAAAAAAGCCTGTTGAAAAGATAGCCTTTTTCCTTATATTGCTGCAAAGACAGGGACTAGAGGCTTACTTTTAAAAAAATGAAAGCTGAGAATTCAGAGAACATGTTACACCAATTGTTACAATAGTATATTGATATAACAATATTCTGCCAATTTTTTTAAAGAATAAAAAGCCCCCACCGAGGCAAGAATAGGAAATGGCTGCCGCATGGACAGGGTCAGTGAAAATGGCTGCCACATGGATGGGAAAAATCCAAATTCTCTCACCCACAGTAGCCATCTAGGCGATCTTTCTCAAAATTTGGTCAAAGCAGGTTTGAGAAAGACTTGGGAAAAGTTACTGAAACCCTTGGAGGTACACAAATGCATCACAATCAGGGGTCATTTCCTGCAGGAGCACACAGTAGCGGAGCTCCGGCAGTAAAGAGCCCAGGGGGCAGGCACATGCAACAAGCCCCACCCCCTGCTCCCAGCAGCCCTCAGTCAGAGCAAGAAGCAGCCAGGTAAGTTGCAGAGC